AGGGACATGGTTTAGTGGGTGGTGGTGTTGGGTCGATGGTTGGACTCGATGATCTTTGAGGTTTTTTCCAACCTCAATGATTCTATGATTCTACCACTGTCGGAGTAGGGCTTAACGGAGGTGTGATTGCCAGACAGCCAGAGCCCTTCTAATGCTCCCGAGTGAGTTCTGCTCGGTAAAGAAGTTGGGACTGCATGTGGGCAGTACTGCCTCTGTGGAGGAGGAATGGCTTCAGGGTTACTGGTGCTTCCAGGTGGAAGCATGCGATCGTTCTCAAAAGCAAGCAGTCGGATAAAAGGTGTTCTGTTTGCTTGTTGATACATAATAGGAAGAGTATATTTTAGGTGGCTAAATAAATGCAACTGTTCTGTGAAATGCTGTATTGCCATATAGAATCAGTGTAGGAGAGTAACCATTTATGTCTTGGTAGCCGAACTTGTAGTGGAGTCTCTAGTGCTTCCTGTTGACTAGAAAGCTTCACTTGCCGCAAGACTGTTTTAATGCTGTAGTCGTTTTGGTGGTAATAAATTCTCTCCATTAAAGGGCAATGGACCAGTGAAAGTTACTGGAAGAATCAGTGGCTTGACTGATGGACAGCATGGCTTCCATGTCCATGAATTTGGGGACAACACAAATGGTAAGATGTCTATCCAAGCTTTTGAGTTACAGCTGTAATGCGATTGCTCAGCTTTAAAGAGCTTCTTTGAGTGTTGCAGCAGCAAGTAGTATAGGTGTACTTGGGTCTCATGATTGCAGATCTGTGTTAAGAAATGATGTTATTTCCTAAGGAATTGCTTCCTCCCATTTAATACTTTGAACATGTTTAGGCTGGTGTTCAAGCTCTGATATCAAGTGCTAACCTAAATATTTTGGTAACCTAGTGTTAAGAAATAAGAAAGCCTTCAACTGAGCCTGAAGTTCTAGAATGAGTAATCTTACTTTATTGAGCTTGTAAGTCTGTAGTAGGTTACTTGACTCCAAAGGATTAGTAGAACATCTAACAGGAGAGTAGCTACTTCATCATTAGTGACTTCACTTCCTCTGGCTATAGGAGGACTACCTTGGTGTGTACTGTATAAGCAACAGATTTAAACTGGCTACTGAAAAAAAAAATCTACTTTTGATGGCTGCATTCTGTTTCAGGGTGTACCAGTGCAGGTCCCAAAAAAAAAAAATCTACTTTTGATGGCTGCGTTCTGTTTCAGGGTGTACCAGTGCAGGTCCTCACTTCAATCCTGAAGGCAAGCAGCATGGTGGACCAAGTGATGCAGAAAGGTGAGTTTAATGTGCTTGGCTTCTTACTGGGTAGCTACTCCATGCAGTGGCCATCTAAGTGCTGCTTTGTGCTTGAGAGGCCGCTTCATGACTGATGCTAGGACAATACCAGAAGAATTCCTGAGGACTTCTAGGGTCAGTTAACAAAGGCTCTAATAACTGTACGGCGATTTGTTAGGCACCTTGGCTCCAAGAGTATGGGTAAAATGTAGTCTTTGGGACATACTCTTGGTTTTTATCATAGCTTGGGGGGAGGAGGAAATAAAGGCTCTTAGTGAGTGAAGGTTCCTCAGGGTATGAGTGGGGGGAGTTCATGTGTTAAAGCCTTATTTGGTCTGTGGTGATTTGCTTCTGTTTCGGGGCCAGCTTTTGACAATAGGGGCCCTAAACTGTCAGTTGTTGAGCTGTATGCAGGCTTGTCATGTGGCAGATCAGGATCATCAATGGAAGGTACTGAAGCTTCAGGGGAGACTGCAAGATCAATACAAAGCTGTGTGTGCCTAGGCATGGTGGCTTTTCATTGAGTTTGCTGGGCTGTTCTTATCCTGTTAGCTTAGGTACCATACTACCTACATACAGTATGTAGTCCTTAAGGGTTGTGTGCGCTCTGTGTAAGTACAGGGTCTGATGCTTATGCTGAATATCTCCGCACCTCAGCGGGAGCTCAGACCTCATTCTTCTCCTGGAAACAGTTTTCGTAGTCCAGTTACCTTCAGGGAGCCCTTGTGTGCCTGAGACCTGATGTCTGAGCTGATTGGGTTCAGAGACTGGGAGGGGGCCGCACAAGAGCTGAAGCGAGTGGAGCTAGGAGCAAGTGTAAAAGATGGGCTGGTCTTGCACAGGTAGGGTCTGGACCAGCACTGTGACCAACTTGGCATTGTGATTAGCTTTTGAATGCTCAGTTTATGTCTAACTGCACCTTCTGTGACTGATAAATTTGTACCTGAGTGATCGGTTGCATGCCAGACCAAGCAAGCTGGCTGCTAGCCAGCTGTCTGGATGACGGAGCACCATGAAATGGTGTGCTCATGGGCTTCACAGGCAGCCAGCTGCTCCAGTGCTAAAGGGCAAAACTGCATGAATATCATGGCTTCTGCTGGTTCTGCTTGTCAAATCCTGCTGCTAGTGTAACCTGCCTGCTCAGGCAGCTGTAGGCTGGGGAATTCCTTAGGGGGGGGTGAGAACTAGATCATGCTTTTATCAGTGTAGATTTGAAACAATTGGACTGAAGCTTCCTGGAAGCTTAAATCAAGCAAATTCCTAAAGGGAAAACTGTCCTTGACCTGATTTCATAGGACTTGGTCAAAAATATGAAATTGGTGCTATGCTGTCTAAGAAGCTGGTAGTCAGCATTCAGCCAGCTGAGCTGGCCGCCCTGCACGCATGGAGAGTTTTAGAAACAAGTTGGTATTCAAGGTTCTGAATCTGGATAGAAGAGTCTTGCAGAACATCATCAACTTGTCTTTTGAGTGAATGTTTTGTTTGGGGCAGATGTGTAGGAAACAATACACTGGAATGGCCAGAAGTTCAGTGAAAACTGAACTGCTTGAAGCTTAATTCTTAAGGGAAGTCCTAGCGGAGATCTAGCTCCAATTAAAAACTGTGTGGTAGAGTATAGTGCCAAGTGTATGGGGGAAATGCCAAGGAAACTCGAATAGTCATCCCTGGTACTGGTTAGAACTTAGCTAGCACTTAATGCATCCCCTTTGACCTGTCACTTGACAAACTGCTTTTACTAATCCTATTTAAACCTGAAGACTGCAGCTGCTTATGGAATAGCTGATTTGTGATAGACATTTAAAGCTCTTAAGAATAGCAGCAGTGTTTACACCAAACCTTGTGTGTGCAGGAAAGGCTTTCACCTAATTTGAGACCTTCTTTGAGCAGAGGGAGATGCCATCAGCATGGAGGAATTCTTGGCTATAAGAGTTGTGCCCTGTTGGCTTGGCTTGTTAGGGAGTGATGGTGTTTCTTTCCCCAGAGTTGATTAACCTTCCAGTTTCAAGTTCTACCTAGGACTGAATTTTAATCATCCCTTGAACCAAAGGAGTTAAAATAGTGGAAGTGTTCAAGATTGACTGGTGGTGGTAAATGAGGGCATATGTGCTGTTTAAGATTAGATGGTGGAGTACTTGAGTGTAGTGACTATGGGTATTGTATTGGCCAGGCCATCACTTAGAAGAGCTTTCAATTTAACCAAGTTTTCTATGAGTTTCTCTGTGTCTTTGTGTAGGCACGTGGGAGACCTTGGCAATGTGATGGCTGAAGGAGGAGTGGCGGAAGTGGAAATGGAAGACTGCATCATTTCTCTCAGCGGACCACACAGCATCATTGGACGTACCATGGTGGTAAGTGTCTTGGCACCTACTTGGGTGCTTTAAGGAACTCTAGAGCAATCTTGCCAGCAAGCGGAGACTCTTTCTGATGCTGGAGGCCAGTCCCTGGTGTTTGTTAAGAACTTGTAGTGCAAGATTTCCCACGTGGGGAGTTCTTTGAAGCCTTGCCTGAAAGTCCTCTGTATATTAGTATGGCACTTCACTGCCATGAGATCTTAATTTTCTGCCTGCCTTCCAAAGATGTTCCTTTCCATTTAACTTCGCCTCTTCCAGCTGTGAGTGATTAAAGCAACCGGATCTGAGGAAGGAAGTGGCAGTCTGGCACAAATGCCATCACTGAAAGGCATGGCAACGGGCGCTTCAGGGCACCGTTCACTAGTACTAGTACTGGTCTGGTAGCTGCTGGTGTAACTTGTGCCATGGCATCCCTGGGAAGGAGGGAGGCAGAAGCTGAGTGGACTTGGCCACAGAGGAGCGTTGTCAGTCTTGCTCCCCTTGGGACTCCAGCGTGTGCTGAGATAGCTCTGCTCCTGCATGAAATGGGCTTGGACTGATGGCCCAGGAGCAGGGAGACGTGTCGTGTAGCACTTCAGATGGCGCGGCTGAGGCACTGCACCCTTGGTGCAGCGGTCAGCCTTGTGTTGTAAGGGGGACCTTGAATGTCAAGTCCAAGCTTGCTCTTGGACTAGTAATGACTTTTTGAAACATGGGGTTTTGGTGACTTCCGGTTGAAACAAATTCAGCTGAAGGCAGCTCCTCTTTCTAGAGAAGTCTAGTCTTAAGTTTTTAGCATGAGTATCAATTTGGCATCCAGCATTACATGATTACAGTATTACAATAGGTTCTCTGTTGTGTAACACCTGCTGGTAGCTGGCAATGCTGCTTCTCACTGCTGCTACTAATGAGTAGTGAAAACTGTTGATTTGCTGTGCAATAACATGAATTAAGGTACCTTCAATTCTCTTCTAGGTCCATGAAAAATGCGATGACCTGGGTAGAGGGGGAGATAATGAGAGCAAATTAACTGGAAATGCTGGACCTCGTTTAGCTTGTGGTGTAATTGGAATAGCGAAGAGCTAAGTATTGTACCTGAAATGCTTGAGATGACAGTGATAAGTGGGCTGTATTTCATTGCAAATGCTGTACTTGCCCTTCCTTGTGCAAGCAAAAGATTTACCACTTAATCTCACTACTACTCTGCATTCTCAGTATCACTTAAACTGGTGGAGACTGACAATTTTGTATGATGTATATTGTAATTAAAGTGACCCTGATGGGATGTCTCTGTAGTATTCTGCTAAAGCATCTGCTGTAACCATTAAATATAATCTTCAGTAACTGGAACTCCTGTTTTGTGTAATGGAAGACATGTAGTAGCGACCATATCCTGAACACCAAAACTTCTTGTGCACTGTGTGATTTGGAGGACTAGCCTTATGAGCTCTAGCAAGACTACTCACCAAAGAGCAGTGGGCACTGTATGTATTGGGGCTTCCTCCTGGCAAAGTCGCAGCACTTGTAGGTTTCAAACTTGTGTAATAAACTTGCTGGGCAAATACACCTTGGTCTTGCTGTCTATAAAAACAAGCAAACAAAAGAAACCCCTACCTGCTGATAGGCTAACATGAAAAGTGGGCCTGGACTTCATCAAGTCAGTAGTTAATTTGTGAGACACTGACAGCACCCAAGTAGCAACTTGGGTAGTTGGGTAGTTAACTACTAGTTGGTAGTAACTACTTGGGTAGTTACTCCAGCTAGTAACCCTGGAACAACTAAGACCCGAGACCAGTCAGTGTGCAAGTAACAAAGTTTGGCCTATGTTTTCCTGGGGCAGAACCCCCTGTTCCGTGGTAATAACCTGACACCTCTGCACATTACAGCCAGGGGTTTTATGTACCGAAGGAGGACTGCTGCTTTGCAGAAATGCCTTCTTGCTGTAAAATGTAATGGTGTGTTTATGCTTGTGGCACTCACATGTGACTGCAAAGCATGCCTGTGTGTGTGCATGGTGGGGGAAGCCTTAAGCATGTAGAAAGGTCTGGCTCCAACGTGTGTCCTTGTGCCTCGTCCGGGCCTCTGGCTGTGTGGCTTGGATTGTTGTGGGCAGGTGTGCAGTGAAAGTCTGAATGTGCTGGTGAAGACAACTTTTTTTTTCAAGCTATGCAGGAGTGTGTCGTGTGGAACAGGTCTTTCCTTACAAAGGATTTACATAGCCAGAAGTTCTGTATTTGATTTCATAAAGCTGTTCAGCAGTGTCATCACTGTACACTAATGCCAGCTTTCGTTATTTTCTTGTATGTACCTCTTAAACACAGATTTCCAAGTCTTTTAATAGAGAAAATTATGAATTTTAATGAAGACTTGTATCAACATTCCTTTATCTTGTACATAAGAGATATTGATGCAAGTAGTTGGTTGTAGCGTCTAGACACCCAGACTCCAGTGTAGTGTGTTACAAATGGAATGGCTTTTGGTAGTGTAGCAAGAATACTGTAAAAACACTTTAAACTTACATTCACTGCAGGTGGCAAACAATTGCGTGTACAGTCTCTACCCACCTGTACCTCTTGCAGTGGATTAGTCTATGCTCTGATGCAGCTGCTGCAGCAGAATTAGGACAGTGATGGCATCTTCTGGCTCCCTCCTTAAGCACCAGGGGGTGTGGAACGCTGAACACCCACAAATACCACCATCACCTCTCTGTGTTTCAGAAGTTCAGAGGACAGTTATGTCGGCTCCCCTTTCCCTAAGGGGGAAAACCAGCAGGTACCCGTCTACTGTAGGTCGAGCTGTAGTGGAACGGGAGCTCTGGCAGCTCTGTGGCTTGCCTCCCCTCCCAGCCGTTCCCAGCGCTGAACCTTGCTGCTTTGGAAGCCTGGTACGCGGGGATCTGGACTTTCAGACCTGTTTTCTCTTGTTGGGTTAAATGCCTGATGGCATGCTAGCCTAGAAGTCAGCGCTGTACTGAAGGATGTAGAAGTAGCGCTCGGTTTACGTACAAGTCATTGTAACTGGCAGGCACAGGCTCAATAACCAAGGTGTTAACTGCGTTAACAGTATTGTCTTTATCAGTAATGGATGCTTGCACTGAGCTAATTGATCTTCCAGTGCAAATTCGCAGCTTATTTTAAAGCCAGAAATTTGGTAGTTGTACAAGGGTGGGATACAGTTACTCTGGTGATGCTGTAAAGATGATGCATCGCCAGTAGGTTTGTTATGCAATTACTGCTTCAGGAGGCAGCAAGAAAACTGTTCTGCAAAGGACGTCCAAAGTTTTCGTAGGCTTTGTTTTCCATTTCCTAAAAAGGGAAATGGAGAGAATGTGAGGTGGCATTTGTGTGAACAGGTAAGCCTTCCGTCTCGTTCATTCTTGTCTTCAAATCTTTTAATAAAGTGTATTCATTTAAAAAATCCTACCTCCTTATGGAATTATGGCAGTTTTTACTAAGACGAGTCTTAAACGTAAGACGGAAACGTCCGGCTTTGTATGAAGAACGTTAGTTCCGCTGGCCCAGCATGAAACAAACATTAAGGACACAGGTTTTAACACATGGAAGCTGAATTCACTACAAGTATGTAAACAGGTTTTTTTCTCTCTTTATTCTGCTATTGCAAGAACATAAAAATATATGTCCTCTCCCCAGTCCATAACTCCACATTTGCTTTCCCACCCCTCCTCCCTCCCCCAGAAAAAAATCCCTCTGCCGCAGAGCAGCTATGAAAAGGTACTGATGTAAGAAAGCAGCTGCCCTTCGCTTCGGGGGGGAAAAAAAAAAACAACCTTAAAAGTAGAACACACCTGCATCGAGGAGAAAAAAAAATAAAATTAAATATGCACAGGATTCACACAGTTTTTCCACCCGGCTTCTAGAGTTAAACAAGCTTCAACTGAAGGCCTGGTACCACCCGAGCCCGGCGGCCTGGTGCGCTTCGGGGAAAAAAAAAAAAAACACCCTTAAAAGTAGAACACACCTGCATCGAGGAGAAAAAAAAATAAAATTAAATATGCACAGGATTCACACAGTTTTTCCACCCGGCTTCTAGAGTTAAACAAGCTTCAACTGAAGGCCTGGTACCACCCGAGCCCGGCGGCCTGGTGCCCTCCAAGCGATCGATGAGCGAGTACGTTTAAGGGCAGAACTGCCAGGGCTCCGACTCCGCTCAGTACAACGCGGCCGCCTTCCAAAACCGGTTGCGCCTGAAGGGCCGACCACCAAGAGCTAGTATTTGCCCTCTCAAAATTACTGAAGTGATAGGGGGAGAAGATGGTAAAACTTACACGCGTACAGGAAAACGCACTCTCTGTCCATCAGGCCGGTAGGTACACCACTAGGCGGGTAAAAATTTTAAACCTACCTCTTGCAGGATTACAGGAGGTGGACATCGTTAACTCAGACAACAGTAGCAGCCCAGACTTGCGCGAATGAAGAGGCAGCCTTTCAAAATCCTCGAGCACCCTCCCGCCCCCCTTCCTTTTCCCAGCCCCATTTAAAAAAAAATAGGTTAGCGTTTTATGTCGTGTTTTGGCGTCTTTGATTTCTCTTTCACCCCGCTTTCCAAAAAGCATCAATGGACAACAAGTACAAAAGATGCTGAACCGGCGTGCTTCCTAGCCCACCACACACAGTAATTTTATAACATCACAAGCAGAGCAGACTAAATATGTCTGAGGGTGTCCACTTCTTTTTAAAAAAAAGGCTAATCAGGGCAACAGTTACCACAGAACCAGTTGGAGGGGGGAAAAAAAAGGAAAAAAAAAATCGATTGCATTGCAAACACTACACAGTTAACTCTTCAATTAACATTTTAAAACCACTAACTTGTTACCTAGTCTGGTCAAGTAATCATTAAAATGCAGCAACCTAAAAATCAAGATGACTATTACAAATAAAAATTTGCTTCTGTGAATAGCTACACAAACAGATGTCTTTCTTTTAACAAATATAAACAAAGCAGTCTAATTTAGACTCCAGTACAGCGTTAAAACAGTTCAAACTTTAAGATGTTGAACACTCCTTTTCCACTTCAGTGCAGCGTAGGAAGAATAGCACACGTTAAAGTTTGTTACGAAAATAGAGTTTATTAAAAACACATCCCTATTGTTTTGAGGAGCTTTCACCGTTACCTTTTCTTAAATTAAAAAAAAAATAGAAAGCACTTCTACTTCTGATTTGTAAACTTTTTAAAGTCAAAACTTTAAAAAAGTTACAGCAAAAATGGGTAATATTTTAATCATATCTTCAGTATTTCATGTTATGTTGTGGCTATTTTAAATAGAAGGGAAGAAATCAAATTGCTTACGATTCCCCACCAACTACCGAGGGGCTGTGATATAAGCAGAAGCAAATATAATACAGCAGACTGTACAACTCTAAAGCTCTACACTCCAACAAATGTCACTGTCGTCTTTCGACAACTTCCAGTCTCTAGCGAGGAGCCTCCGCCGCTGAGCCCATATCCTTGTCCGCTTGTTCCGCAGATGAGGTAGCCTGGGATGTTAACTCTTCAACAGGTTTTACACCTGTAGGTTCAGACTCTCCCGCAGCAAGTTCTGAAACAATGTCTGCGTCTTCCATTTTGCCGCTATGAGATTCATGGTTTTTGTCGCCATCTGCCCTGTCTGTCATCTCCGGTTTCTCCTTCCCTCGATTTTCTTCCTTGTCTCTGCGAGACTCCCTATCTCTAGAATCTCTCTCTCTGTCTCGATGGCCGCTGGACCGCCTGTTTCTGTCCTCCAAGTCTCTGTGTCTATCGCGCTCGGGGCTTCTTCTTCCCCAGTCTCGCCTGTCACGATTACCAAGTCGCTCGTGATCTCGGTCATCGTTGCGGTTACCGTAGCGCTCACGATCGTTTTCTACCCGATTTCCAAAAGATCTCCTTCCAAACCTTTCCTGGTCTCTGTTAGGCGTGAACGTCTGCCTGTCGTTCCTAAACTGCCTCCCATCTCTGTTATCCTCGGGTCCGCCTGGCCCCCCGCTTCCCGGCATCCCCCCAGGTCTCACAAAGTGACCCGGCGGCGGGAAGGGGGTTTTCATTCCGTGGGGGGGAGGCATCCCGAAGCCCCCTGGCCCCGGCGGGGGCCCTCTGTGCATCATGTGGGGGGGCATGTGTCGCGGTGGCATCAAGGGAAGGGCCCTCTGTGTGGGGGGGCTTGTGTCGCGTGTCGCGTATCAAACCAGGCCGGGCACCTAAGAGGCCAGTGGATGGAGTCTGCAACCCAACAACGGGGGCTGGCGGGGGTGGCGCAACTCCTTGAGTGCCTGCAACAAACACACACACACACACACACAAAGTAAAAATCAGAGGCTGGCAGGAGGGAAAAAAAGGCATTTTCACAATTTCAA